GGCTTATTGGTGCAAAGTTTCATTTTAAATATGCGCCGAAACTTATTGAGATACTGTGAGGTCAAATGTTTGATCGCACGCATTCAATAGTTTGTTCGTCTTATCTGGTCTTCTCATTTAATTTCCTTAACAGCCTTTTCATTATTTTCTGTTTATAGATAATTCTTACATACCTTTACAGTGCAATCTACCCACTGCAGTGGGTATACCACAAAAGACAGGCGATAATAAAATACCCAGTGAGGGCTATGCAGGTATTATCTAATGATCGATTAGACAGTCCCTATATGCTTTTTGCTTTTTCATCGGGTATATAGTCTATAGTCTCTGTAGATAATGGTTACATACTCTTACAATGGGTTTATTGTATTGGACATGTGATGTGCAGACTAAATGTATTTAGACATATTAAATATATGTACATTCATCATTAAATTTAAATAAATTAATATTCAAATCCAAGAGCTGTATATGCACTCAGTAATCTTTAAGAGATTTTAAATGAAGCATAGTTTCCACATTTTCAAGTTTATCTAATAATAATAATCAAAAGTTGATTATGCTTCTTCAAAATAGATTTTCGGATTGGATACTTTGATTGTATGTCACAATATTCTTCGTATATTTCTTTCATATTTAATCTCTTATATAACGACGATTCGAAAGGTCTGAAGCTCTTTAAGGGTATTTCGTATTCTGTAATACATTATTATATACACATAAGATATATTTTATATACAATTTATGAAAACTTATGTCGAAATTTAAACTTCTATCGATAAAACTTATATCTGTTTAGCTTTATTAGTGGCTTTATTTAACAAGCCCCAGCCATGGAATTGCCGATTAAAATTTAATGAAAGACCTGGCCTGATCAGTCTATTTGACAGTTCTCATACTTTCAGTTGTTCAACTTGCTTTGATTCGGTTCGGTTCGGCTCAAAAGTGAAAAGGGATAAATATGCCAAAAATTATGAACACAAAACAAACAATTACCATCATCCGGGCAACAGGACAACCGCTTTTCGTGCTTCTCCTACTTCTCCCTCTTCGCTCGGTTGCTTCAGGCCCAACAACCTCACGCTCGACCGATGGCTTCATCCTCATCTTTTGCAGCTGCCAAAACAGTCAAGTGTTTCGTTTGCCGGTTATTGCCAACCCCCCAAAGGCCGAGCATCTAATCGAATTTGATGGCTTCACACTGATAGGAGCAGCTGCTGCTCCTGCTCCAGTTCCTCCTGCTGCTGCACCTTTCCTACCTCAGCCCACGAATCCGGCCACGATTTTTATTGCCTTTTATATTATTGTATTAGCCGTGTGGCATACGCTTTTAATATTGCCTGTCCCTTCGTCGATCTTTTGTTCAGCGTCAGCCTCTGCTTATTCGCAGCAGATTTCAGCGTCGATTTTTATGTGTTCGGCGTTTATTATGCTTTACTTTTTCGCGCCTCTTTTTAACCCCTTGTTTTATGTGACGTTCGCCGCTACTGCTGCTGCTCCTGATGCTGCGTGTGTCGACCGGAAATGCCTCATTTTTAGAAGTGTTTTGCATTTTGTTGCCGTTCAACTCTTTTTTCGCATTCTATTTTTTTTTGTTTTTTTTTTTTTTTTGCCCTCTTCTGTTTTCAACAATTGTAAACGCGCTTTCGCTTTTCCATGTAGATGTGTGTGTTTCGCTGTTGTTGTTTTTGGGGTTTGGGCTTTTGGTTTCTATTTTGCTTTGCTTTCGGTTATTTGTGAGATATATGCAAATGTGTTGGCAGTTATTTGTGTTGAGGATTTGTTTTAGCTTCGCTCATGTTATGCATATGTATTTGTGTTTTAGTTTAGTTTTGTCAGCCTGACATGGCATATGGATATGGATGTGGATGTGGATATGGATATGGTTTTGAGTTCGTTATTATTTTTAGGGCTAGCTTTTCTTTGATTTATGCTGCCAAATATTTTCACTACAAATTCTGTGACGTTTACGTTAAAAATAATTTTTCTTTTTATATTTGAATAGAAAATATTTTTAGTGTTTTTTTTTTCTGCGTAACCGTTTAAAGTTTAAAGCATCAAATGGGATTCATTGCCGTATTAATTTCATCAATTAAATACTTTTGAGGTATTACCATTGCTTACGCTGATAAGGCCCCTATGGCGCTCGACGCCAAAGACTCTTCTCTGATAGTTCCCAGTGGCTTATCAACTGCAGTTAACGGCGTTCGGATTAATCCAATGATTGCATTATTCGGGAAATACCGTTAGCGAAGCGTCGCACACGTTCTGGAATATATTTAATTAAGTCTCGTTGGCAAAATGGAAAGTTTATTGTTCAATAATGAAATTCATGATTGAGAACTTGTATAAAATTAAATGAAAAAGTCTATGAAAATATTGTGCTCAATTAATTTCGATTTGAGACAAATACGTATGATATTTGAAAATGCAAAATTTATTAATAATACTTTATTTTATGAGGTGTGAATGTTTTAAAAAATAATATTTATAGGGATTTGTCACTAATTAAATAAATTCGATTCACTTTTGACGACAGTTGAATGACTATCCAATTCTTTGCTATCAGTAGTAGCGGAACTGTTTTTAGCAAAATTCGTCTAATCTTATCAGAAATACTTCCGGGTGCTCCACCTCCATAGATAAACTGTGAGGTAACGAAACATCTAGAGTTTTCTTACCAGGGACAAGCCTATCTATTGACGTGTGCTGTGATAAGTTTTTTCGATATGCCATGAAAAATATTAGTGTATCTATTTTTTGTTGAAGCTTTACGGTAATAACAATTTAATTAGCGTTAAGATATTTGTATAGGCACTAGGATAAAGGGTCTATGAAGATGAGATTAACAAGTATATATTTCCATTTGTGCTCCCTTTCTCTCTTCAATACTCAATTCATGCCATTAAAATATAATTTTCCTTAAAGCCAAACGGATGACAGAGTGCGAACTTATTGAAAGTTGTTTTTAAAGAGCAGCTCGAATGTTGGCGTCATAAATAAAAGAAATGAAATCATTTTAAGCAATTTGTCTACAGTTTTGTGTCACACTTTCTGCGTCATTTCTCACATGCCATAAAAATGCTACACACACACAGACACACACACGCACAGTCAGTCGAACACCCGCCGCAGTCATAGTTCGGCTGAGGACACACCACAAGGCAAGCTGGGGACCAGCTCTAGATCCATATCTGCACGCACATCCAATCCAGCAGCAAGCTGGCCGCCCAGCAAGGTGTCACGCTGATAAATGGCGTTGCCTTACTTACGCCAACTTCTCTATCGGCATGGCTCTACCTGTTCGCCTCACTCCGCTCTATGATTTTTCCATGCCCTCTGCCATTTTACGTTTATTTTTTTACAAAACTTTTTCCGTGTGCCAATTCCAAGAAAGATTTCCTTTAAGTGTAATAAAATGCAGTGTCGCTGTCATAAATCTATTCCGCTCGATTGTCGACGTCGACGACGACGACGACGGCGACTGCGATAGCGACGCACAGCCACAAAATTGAAATGCATTGACATTGAATAATGAATTCTTAAGGAGTACAAAAGTGGTCCAGACAGCCCAACTTCCACAAAGCGTGTCAACACTTAGCATTGGCATTTGATTATAAGCGAAATTGTGTCGCAACGCTAATGCGGAAATTAAATATTTTCAAAAACTCCAACCAAAATGGGAAAAAACCACAACAACAATGGAAGGAACGCTTGGAAACAATTTCAAAACATTTTTGTTGACAGCGTCCCCGAAGCAGACACGAAACACGCACACACAAATTCTGGCCCTGTTTCGAGCATGAAAGTGAAAACGTGTTTCTGAAAACATTTTCGCCAAGCAATATGAAAAATTCAAGTTTAAGAATTGTTGATTTCACTGTTAGCTAATAACCCGTAGGAATTACTTCATCAGAAATACTCCTAAAACAACTTAAATCCTGGCGAAATCGTGTCGTATATGACTTGTGCAACATCTGCTTTTCCCTCTTTATAGTTTTCATTCTTCACTAAAATTTCATAAGATGCGCGCAGTTCTTTCAAATTATAGAGATTTTCCTTATAGTATTTCTCATTTTGGCGAAAGTATGCCATTTACAAATTGTGGAACATCTGTTTTTTACTCTATAAGTATATGTTGCATTAAATATTATAATTTTTATTCTTAATGAAAAATTCACACGATATAGATCTGTTCAATCCTTAGACAACTTTTCAGAATGAAGAATTTACGTCGCCTACAAATTGTGGAACATCTGCTCTCCACTCTGTCCATATAGTTTTGGCGTTTGCAAAAACGTTACTGTGAGCTGGCTTAAAAATTCTAATAACACAAATATTTGCAGATGAAAGAGGTACTAAAAGGCATTTGGCCGCACACTCCACTTGACAAATGTGGAGTGAGCGCCGAGATACATGAACTGACTGGGTTAGGTAGTGGCAGACTAGGGGACTAGTGAGCTAGGGTCCGACCTGCATCGACCCCTTGTCCCCCTCCCCCTATGGTTGGCAGTCAGAATCTACCGCCCCGGATGGCAGTCACTGTCACTCCATCATTTTGGCTCCGGCGTTGGCATACTTTTTGACAACACCAGGACAACAACAAGCCACAGACAAACTAACAAAAACGGCGCACACAAACACAGAAACACACACATATACAGAGAGAAAAAAAATTTGTAATTTTCGTAGCATGTTTGCTGCGTTTTGCACTTTTACTGCACATTTTTCATTTGCTGCGCAAAACTTTTTGACATGTTGCAGAGCAAATTGAATAAGTCCGCAAAAAAAGAAGAGAGCAAACATTGCAAAACAATAGAACAAATGTTGCCCGCATGTTGCCGGTGCGTGCATGTGTGTGTGCGTGTGTGTGTG